AAAATTGGCCTAGTTTGTTGGGGGTTGATTCTATTCCTCAATCACCGATTATGAGCCCAATAGATCAATCTGTTCTCCTACAACAACAACAATTACAACAACAACAATTACAACAACATCAACAACAATTGATTAATCCTTTACCAACGCCAGCTGCATTGATAGGACCTGGTTATCCTACTATTGGTCCTAATTGGTTCTCAGAATATGCAGAAGCCAAAAGAGGTTATGCAGTTAAAGAGGACCATATGGAACCTCAACACGATTTTCGTACGATGCCCATTCAAACTTCACCCTTCCAGAATTTCCAAGTTGGGATGAACCTTGGACAATCTATTCTGTCTCCTATAATTCATGCATAATGAATTTAACAAACGAAATACTAATGTGATAAAGTGACTTGTTTATTTATGTAGAGTAGTATATTTTAATGTTTCCTATTTATATTTATTTTTATTGGTAAATATATATATATTTATATAGATGTATATGTATATGCACTTGTCTCTCTTTCTCTCTTTCTTTTTTTTTTCTATTCTTTACGTATTGTTAGAACGAAAAGGATATCTTGGATATAATTTATATTCTATAAAAATAATTTGTAATTTATTATAATAAAACACTGGTCATAACAAAAAAATAAATAATTTAACTTATTTATGTTCTTATTCTATTGATTTTTTTTTTCTTTAAATAATTATAATATAAAAAAAAAAAAAAAGAAATAATTTTCAACATAAAGTTGTAATACAATAGATGATATAAAAACATGTAATCTTATAGAAATTAGTGATTTAAATAAAAATGTTAATAAAAATTGAGAAATTGTGTACTATAATGTAAAAAAAAAAAACATGATTCTAAACGATCCTAAAACACAATAATTCGTAAATTATAAAAACGTACTTAGTCGTATTAATGGCTCATTGATTTTTGAAATACGACAATTGTTGAACGAGATAGCAAGGTCATGACATTCTACATGGCATCTTTCCCCTTCGTTTACTTTCACTGGAAGACATAAGATCGGTTGTGCTCTTGAAAGTTGAGAAAGTCTGATCGCTTGCTTGCAACAAGATGTGCGACCAACTCTATATCGAACATCGTTTAGCCCATTATTCCTTCGCTGTTTTAATCGGACGATCATGAGAAAGAAAATGACTATCGTCATTTAAGTAAATATATTTAATGGGAAAATTATGTGAAAGGATGTACAGGGCGTGTCCAAAAGTTCCTAAGTGATTTGAAAAATCAATTACTTTCTTTTTTATTTTCTTTTTTTTTTTTTTTAGATATTTCTGGTGAACTTTTCTTTCCAGTTTTATCAACACCATAGATGGTTAGTAAATTTAATGAGAAAAAATACACGAAGATGCATTGGATGGGTCTAAAAATTTCCAAGTAATCTAAGAAATATATTACTTCTTTTTCTGAAATATATATATTTTAAGTAAATTTACTTTTAAGATTAAGACAAGCTTGTTAAATTTAAAGTTAAATAATAAATCTACGAAGACTTGAAAGACAGAGTAATTAATTTTCGAAATTATCTAATTGTAAGAATTTTTGGATCACTTTCAAGAATTTCTTTTTTTTTATTCTTTCTGCACACCTGATGATTTTATATATGTGTATACGTATCTGTATAGGTGAGTATATACTAATTGTAAGAATAGTTTCACGAATAATTAAACTCTTCGCGATAGACCGTAACCTTGAAATAATCGACATTATCATTAATGAAAAAGAAAGTTTAAGTTAGAAATTTTTAAATATTTAAGAAATTGTTTCTTTTTTTTTTTAAATCCTTTATAAAGCATGATAATTAATGTTTTATAACACTTTGAAAACTATAATTATATATTTGAAGAGATATAACATTTTTATATTAAATTTTGAAAGAAATGTGAAAGAGTTTTTGAAATATTTTACGTAAGTAATCAATTGTAATTCTATGTAAATATATACGCGCATAAGTTTGATTACATTAACCATATTACAACACTAAAACGTTATATCAAACGAGTTGAATTCACTTTTGGCTTTATTAACCTAAAGCTACCATTTAGAGTAAAGTTACTTCCTACTAGTCAGTCCAGTTATTGCTTAATTACATTTATAATAAGTATTACCACATATAATAATATTTAAACAAAGGAACAAAAATTTGCATGTAATTAAATAATAAATATTAACAATAATTCAAAAATTCGAGAAAAATTCTCCAATAGAAGAAAAAAGAAATTGATTAGTATTGTCCAAATAATATTACATCTAAATAAGAAATAAAAAATAACATTGAAAAGAAATCTTAATGAAAAATAAAACCCATAAGAAATAAATTTAGAGAAAAAAAAAGATAAAAAGAAACGAAAGAAGAAAAAACAAGAATAGAATCACTCGAAATCGATTCGCGTACAATCGTATTAATGTAAGATAAAAATATTTAAAAAAGAAAAAAAAATAAGATTAAAAAGAAAACTAAAAAAAAGAAACCTAATATCTAGAAAAACTGATGAGCAATAAATTTAGAGAAAAGAAAAAGGAATATAGACGCGAAAAGAAAAAAAAACGCAAATATGATTATACGAAATCGATTGTAAGTTTCACTTATACATTAGTTAAATAAAAAAATAGTTTTAAAATATTACCGGTAACGGAAACTAAGAGGCGTGTTTAGATCTCACTTGTAAGAACAAGTGATATAATCTATATATCGTGCCAATGGCAATATTGTCAAGGCCAGTTGGTCTTGATCGGAAAAGGAACAACCATAAAGGTGCGTTTACTGGAATTTACCAGACATGTCTGAAACGTGAAAAGGGAAAGAGTGAAAGGATTGAAAAAAACTTGAGAAACTTATCTCTTTCTTTCTTGTATCATACTTTGTTTAAGTTTACTCTATATCTCTCTCTCTCTCTTTCTCTCTTTCTCTCTCTTTCTCTCATTTTCTTTCTTTTATGTACATCTTATACTCGCACGCGTTACTTTCTATTTCGTTGTCAGCCGCAGAGAGAAACGTCGTGAACGATCATAAGGAGATTTATAAAGTAGATAGATTTTCAGATTTACAACAGTTATCCCTTCCTTTCGTTCTCTCTCACCTCTTCCTCCTCCTCCTCCTCCTCCTCCTCACCCCTTATCATCACTCTTTCCATCCAAGCAACCTATGTCGATCATTATTGCGATCAAAAGTATCTAATAGGAGATGGAAGACAAATTACCGTTGCGTTCTTTCACGCGCATTCCGGAACGAGGAAAAGTTAAATGCCGGTAAAAGGAATTTCCATTTGAAATTCCCCGACTTAACAATTTCATCGAGGTATCTGATTTCTTCTAAATATATAGGTACATATGTGTGAATATTTATATATATATATATGTAAAAGAAAAAGTGTTGAATATGAAAAGAGAGAAATTGTACAATGACATTTGTCAAGTTAAACTGTTATATAAATAATTCGCGGTGTTAAGTTTATTACAAGATAATTAATCGTTATTAAAATTAATTTACCATGTCGTACTCTCTCTCTCTCTCTCTCGAATTATCTTAATTTCTAATTACCTCTGTAATGTAAATGAGATCTGTTTCTATTTAATTTTTTTAATAAATTAATTTTTTCTTTTCGTTTATTTTGGATTTATTCGTCGTGTTTTATTTTTTTTTTTTTTAACAGCAAAGAATAGCAACGATCGTAACGAATGAAATTTCTTCGTTCGAGACCTTTATTATCCTGTAATAAAATTTCACGATGCGAATGTGAATTGCCGACAGACAATAGTAATCTCTTCTTCTTTTCTTTCAATTTTTTTTTTTTATATAAAGAAAGTATAGAATCATTTCAAACTGGTATTTTAACGAACATATTAGACGAACATACTTTTAACGAAATAGTAGATTTCGAGGACGAATCTCGAATATGATCTTACCTGTCGATCATTTTCTTTCTCTTTTAACGAGATCAGTTTATTTTACTTGTAGTGTTATCCGATGCGTTTATGTATTTTTTTGTTCTCTCTCTTTGTATATTAGAAAATATTAGATTTAGATCCGAGAGATGTATATGCATTTGAATTTACGCTAGCTCGTCATCTCGTCTTTCTTTTTCGCACGATATGCGATGGCTTCGTGCCAATGTCCTGCTCTTACTTCTCGATTTCGAGCCACTCGCCGTTGATCTTTATTATCGATGTGCTGAAAGTAGAAATCGTTTCTTTATGAATATTCAACGGGAATGTTGCTACCAACACATTTCTAATGATTTACATTTATATATCTTTCGTTCGTTTACAATTGTTTGATTTAAAATCATTTCTGTTATTTTTGAAATATTACAACAACAAAAATTGTATACGTGAAACTGAAAGAATGATATTTTAATTGTTGTATAATAATTAAATTAAAAAGCAAAAGTAATAAAAATTAATACACGTATTTTATCTCAAGCATTAACCAATGCCAAATACATTGTATATTCAAAAGGTTAAGTTAGATGATTAAATATTACTACATCTATTTAGAAATTATTTGTTTAGATAAAAAAATTAACAGAAAATGAAATAGTACCTCTCTTATTCAATACTCGAACTTACGGAAGTTCTATTCGGGATGACGTATTTAATGCCGGAGGCATAAATTTCTCTAATCATTTTCAAAAATCATATTCGCACAGGTTCTTAGAAAATCTTCTCAATATATATATGCGATAGATATATGTACATTATTTTACAAAGACAAAGTTAGAATAGTATATGTTATGTTAATGTATGTATCAAAGTTAAGTTACTTGCTTGCTTACTTGCTTGTTGAGAATCTGCACAAACACATTCAACTTCCTCACACGCTTCCTCCTTCTCTTCCTACTGGTACCGGTATTGCTTGTTTGGGCTTACGGTGGGATCAACGCTCATCGTATCGCATCCCCCACCAGTTGACTATCTTGTTCTTCCGGTGCTTCCTCCGGGTCAATCTATATAGCCGGCACTGTTACTGGCTATATATGACAGTGTCTATCGGTACGTCGAACAGAGCTGATCAGGAAAAAGTTACTACCGACTATCAGGAAGAGAGTGTATTGTATTATATTTATCTCTCCTCAATCATCATGGAGATCAGAATCATCGTAAGGATTCATCCGATTCCAGATTTATATTAATATTTCCACGAAAGAAACTTAAGATCTTTAAGATTCAAATGATCCTATAGTTGAATTTGGATTATATTTTGGCACTTAATTGTTTTCAAATCTTTCAAAATCTTTGTCAATTTTTCTTTTTTTTTTTTATGCAATTGAACGATTACAAGTAAATTCGTGTTAACGATCTTAGTAGTATACTAAAGATTGTTGTTGTTTTTTTTAATTCTTTCCTTTTCACGGGTTCAAAAACCTTCTCACAGATAGCTTATATTACTAAAGAGGTTACATCTTTTATCGTTTTTTTGAAGTCAATAGTAGATAGTTTTTACAGAACGAGTCACCGTTTATATGTATTAACCATTGTTGCTTGATTTTAGTCTTATTGGATATCTTATGGGAACTAGTTTTTCAACGTGGTTTGATTGATGACAATGTTACTAGATTATTATATCGATTAGGGAACAATTAATTAAAGATTGACAAATTAATTTAATTGGTGATTCTGAATAGTTGACTTATGTGTATCTTTTTTTTTATTCTTTCTTACAGATAAGATCATTTCTTCTACTCAATTGTTTGGCGATAGCTTTAGCCACCTTTGGCAAAGAACAGTAAGTAGTTTTTTGAAAAAAAGTATCGATCAATTAAAAATATATGGAAATAAGTATAATAATTTTATTTTAATTCGCAGCGTTCATATAAGAATTCACGTGCCCGAGTTGATTCAGCATCATGAGAAAAAGGTTATCAAATATGAGGAACATGGCGGACACGATGATAGCGGTGGGGGTGACCATCATGTAGAAATAACAAGTCCAGGGATCGGTGATCTTGGTGGTGGTGGCCATGGGGGAGGATTGGGAGGAGGCTTTGGTGGAGGCCATGGAGGTGGATTTGGGGGAGGTCACGGTGGTGGATTTGGGGGAGGCCACGGTGGTGGATTTGGAGGAGGCCACGGAGGTGGATTTGGAGGAGGTCACGTAATAGTTCACCATTCGTCAGGAGGATTTGGGGGTGGTGGTCATGGAGGAGGAGGAGGAGGAGGAGGTGGATTCGGAGGTGGTCATGGGGGAGACTTAGGTGGTGGTTATGGAGGTGGACATGGAGGAGGTGGAGGAGGATTCGGAGGTGGTCATGGGGGAGATATAGGTGGTGGTTATGGGGGTGGACATGGAGGTGGACATACGGTTAGTTTGAGCGGAGGATTTGTCACACTCGGGGGTGGTGGCGGTGGCGGTGGTGGCCATGACCTTGGTGGAGACTTTGGTGGTCACGGTGGTTTCGAAGGTAAGATAATCGATCAGATATATTAAAAAGAAAAAAAAATAACATATTTATTAGAATTGAATATGGTCAAATAACAATTGTAATAAATGCAAGATCAAGGACTGATTTTGAAACGAGTCCAACTGGACAAGTCTCTTTTTACTTCCTTTCACGTCAATTTTCGAGGATGACGTGGTCGAAACCAGTTCCACGAACTTTCTCCAATTATCGCGACCGTAACCCTATTTCAAATGATTACCAGATGCTTTGATCGTTACCTTTTGATCACTCTCCCTCTCGGTGTTCGATAAGAAATTGTTATTATTATGCGTTCGAGATCATTAATGGTTTACGTTATATACTTATTCGTATTTTATAATCATTGATAATATTTATCAATGGTTTTAATTCTTATCACGAATAATCTCATTTCTAGGTGGCCATGGAGATATCATAGAAAGCAGTCACAGTAGTGGTGGTGGTGGTGGCGGTGGTTATGGTGGAGGTGGCGGTGGTTATGGTGGAGGTGGTGGTGGCTACAGCGGTGGTGGTGGTTTTGATCACGGAGGACACAGTTTTGGAGGTGGTGCTAGCTTCAGTAGCCATGGTGGTGGTTATGGCAGTAGTGGTGGTGGAGGTGGACATGATTTAGGTGGAGATGATCATTCCATTGGTTCAAGTAGTTACGGAAACAGTATCTCCTCCGATTTTGGAAGCAGGTAATTTTTGATCTTCAAATTAAACTGCAGATCTTATTGATGTGATTAAGAGAGACACAATTATAATAATTCTTTTTAATTCTTTTTTTCAGCGGACACGGAGGAAGTAGTTTCAGTTCAGGAGGTGGTTTCGACTCTTACTCATCCGGTGGACACTCATCGTACAGTAGTGGAGGAGGAGGTGGAGGTGGAGGTGGACACGGTGGTTTCTCGGGTTATCACAAAAGAAAATAATAGGCATAACAATTCTTTTTCTTCTTAATTTTTTTTATCTTCATGGTGATGAACTCAAATATTGTTTCTTCTCAATATCGACCAACTTTTGGCCCCCTTTAAAGAAACTTTCACCATGATTGACCAATTAATTGACCGATCGATCCTTCAAAGATCTTCGTTTTGACGTATCGGATTCTTGATCATGGTAGATCGTTTGCAAAGAGTTCCGATGAAAGATCGTGACATCGATCAAGATTTGGCAAATAACCGCGCACAGAAAACTATTTTGAAGTTTTTTTTTTATGAAGTGTTGGTTCATGTATTTACTATTGTAATAATTTTAATTTCATCTTGTAAATATCCCATTCCTTTCCCTCTAACTTCAAATGTATTTCATTATAATGTCAGTAGTTTATATTATTAACACGAATTGTTTTTCGATGATCACAGACTGTGTTGTACAACTGCGAATGCACGTTTTATCGATTTGTAGGTTTTTTTTCATATTTTTTTTTAATTTAATCTACGTGCATTGCCAGCAAGAATGTTATGTTATTTACTTTACTGCACCTGTAAGAAACTTTTCTGTAAATAATTATACAAATATTGTTAACTGTAATAAACATTTTTTATACGTTTGTAAAAATTACTTTGTTTCATTTATCCGAATTTCTAAAT